ATTTTACTAGTTAGCCACTTTTTGATATCTTTCACAGAAAATGAGATATATAGGCTCAAAGTGGACGATCCGGGTGTCGTTCTATTAGAGGTTTTACGGTATTTTCAGTTTCAAAAAGTTTTTATTGATTTAAAAGAAATTCGAAAAGCTGGTCGTTCAAAGTTGGGCGAAATATATTGACTGATAAATATTCAAATTCTGAAGACCAACATGTATAGTTTCCGTTCAGAGATATGTAATTTCTCAGCTATTTTTCAAATTTTAGCTTTCTCATCAAGTTTTCATCCTTTTTTTATGATAACAACGAATTCCACAGCAATTCATTCGGAACAAGCAATAAATAACAATTTATTGAAACTAAAAAACCTATTTGTATGTTTCACCTTTGTCTTATTTTCATATATGCACCGTAAAACCTCTATTAAAAGGGCCACTCTAATAGAATGGCCCCTTTAATAGAAGGACCCCTAAGAAGGGCTTGGAAAAATAGAAAGGCCCCTTGTAATATAAGGGCCCCCGTAATAGAAGGGCCCTCTAGGATGTAGGACCCCGTTCGAAAATTAGTTTTGAGAAAAAAAATTGCCGTACGTTCTTAATGAAAAGTATTCCGGGAATCAAATTAATAGAAATCCTCAATTTAATAGAAATTTGTTGAAGACTTTTTTTGTTGAAAGACTCTGCCAAACGGTGCGAAAACTTTTTCTCTGACCTAACTTATTGGTTTCTAAAAGCTAACAGAAATGATCGTTTTATTAGGTTGGCGGGAAAGTCTTTGTCACTTTTTCAATAGTTTATTTCTCAAAGAAAAAATAACCGAATAATTAATTATATTGTCCATCATTATCAACAACATGTCTCCAACGTTCCCTCAATTTATGGATTCCATTGCGGTAGAATCCAGCCGGGCGCAAAGTATTGTTTGAGTGCCGCTTCGACCGCTCCACGGGAATTGAAGCTTCTTCCTTCGAAGGCACGTGTCATATCGCCAAATAACCAATAGTCGGAAGGAGCAAGATCAGGAGAATACGGGGGGTGAGGGAGAACATTCCATCCATATCCCATCAGCTCCTGCTTCACTTGTTTCGAAACATGTGGGCGAGCGTTATCATGTTGATAGTACACTTTCTTGTCTTTCAGGGCCGAACGGTCGACTGCTTTCTTGAGGTTTCGTAGTTGAGTAGTGTAGAGGTCTCCAGTTATTGTTTTGCCCTCGGGCAGAAGTTCCCAGTAGATGGGGCCGTCCACTCCCCACCACACAGAGAGCATAACTTTTTTCGGATGAAGGTCGGGTTTGGGGACATCCTGTGGGCTCTCTCCTTCTCCAACCCACTGGGATTTCCTGTGGTGATTATCGTAGAAGACCCACTTCTCATCTCCGGTTATTAGCCGGTCCAGCCATCGATCGCCCGCGTGGAGAGTGAGAAGAGTTATCGAATCGCCTACTCGGCGGTCAAGGTTGGCTTGAGTCAGGTGATGAGGTATGAATCGACCAAAAAGTTTTCTCATTCCAAGAGACTTCAAACCTTCAAGGACTGTGCTATGGTGAACTCCGAATGTGACAGCTAGTTCACGGCTAGATTGAAATGGATCCGATTGCAATGCGTGCTTCAGCTTGTCCAAATCCAACTCACGGGGTCTCCCAGAGCGATCCTTTTCATCGAGCGAGAAGTCATCTTTTTCGAAACGATGGAACCAATTGCGAATAGTATTGTAGTGAGGGGCATGTGTGTTGTACACATTCTTCAAGAAAGTTTCCGAATCCTTCATCGTGGTGTGAGATAGGAAGAGGTAAATCAAAACATGTCTGATGTGAATAGCAGTGGGAACAAACATATCGTTTCAATTACAGATGAGGAGCAGGGAAGGAGATGGGGACTTGTTTATATGGAAGGTTCTTATCACCTTGTTATTCACTAGAGTCGATATCATACACAGCCTCCATATACGAGAACAGTGATTAAACAAACAGAGTGACAAAGACTTTCCCGCCAACCTAATAAGAAGCAACATTTTCAGTTTCATAAAGTTTTTATTATTTAAAATAAATTCGAAAATTGGTGTTATTACTTCCTAACAGTTAATTTTATATGTAACCTAAAAAGGCCATTTTTCAGATTCGAATAATACCATTTATGATTTCCATTCATTGATATAAAATTTCATCAAATTTTCATCCTGTTTTATAATTTTTTAACGCACTTCGCAGCAATTTATTCGAAACAGGCATCATATCACGATTTATTGAAACCGAAAAATTAATTTTTATGTTTCACTTTTATCTTATTTTTAGTTTTTTTTTTCATTTTCTGAGGCACTTTTGAAATTCTTGTTGAATTAACAAACGGAAAATCTTGGAACGCCGCTCGTGTCGATTCATGAAGCCCCGCCTCCAAAAACCAATACTCTTTAAATCTAAATTATTTTCTGTGAATTCAGTAGGAACTACTGAACCAAATTTAGATTTTCCAGGAACAACATAATTTTTAGCATTTCCAGATCCCTGTTTTTCTTCAAAAAACTGAACATAATAGCAAATGATCCAATTGAGGCAAAAGTGTGAAAAACCGTGAAACCTGTAATAAAAGGCTTAATAACCAAAGTTTGAGCCAATTTTTCTCGATTCCTGTCAAAGATATAAAAAATTTGTCAACTGATGAATCGTTCATCATAATATCAGAAATATTTCATTAGTTGACACATTTTTGATATCTCGCATAGGAATCGAGATAATTGGGGTCAAAGTGGAAAATGTGGGGGGGCCCTTCTATTACAGGTTTTGTGGTCCGAACAAGGCAGAAATCTGAAATATTTCGTTTTTGAGGCGCTGACTAGTAGTGTTTTCATTTATGTTCAAACTTGAAAAAAATTGTTCTCTGTTTAAAATAGTTCGGTAATACTTTTAGACCATAATTCGTTTGGAAAAAAACCCCGAAACAATATTCCCAAATTTTAGAAATATCACAAGTAACCAAAAGAAGTTTACTGAAACACAAAATTTCCATGTTCCAAATAATTATCATTTTTCTCATTTCTAATTCACTAGCTAATCGTCTTGTGTTCTTTTAAGAAAACAAATTTGAACATGTTCCGGTACTACTTGAAAATTAATTCAATATACATACACAACCACCGAAAAGAAAATATATTCAACTGTGGGGTGTGCCATTGCACATTTTTCAATGTGCCAACCTAGAAAACGAGACGCAGACATCTGAGCAGTAATAGAGAGTACTAATTTGAAAGATACGCAGACACATTCGCAGATGGCCATCAACTTATTGAGCCGAGTCTCTCTCTCTCCCGTGAGGAATAGAAGAAGGACTCTCTTGTCTTTTGTGCTCTTTCACATTGCTCAGCTAATCTCTGCGTCTCTCTCTATCTCTTTGGTTAGTATCTAAGTCTGACTGGACTCGTAAAATGGAAAATGATGTGGGCGGGGCCTACTGGGCCCTTCTCTCCTGGTTTTTCGCTCTCCTTTTTTTTATACGACACGTTTTTCGGGATTTTGGGAGGGTTTTGGCATATTTACAGCACTTTTTTAAAGATTTTGTGTTTCTAAAGCTTCATATGACTGAGATTTGAAATTTTTAATGTTTTAGAGACGTTGGGTATAAAATGTTTCAAAAATCAATTGCTTTCTGGTTACCACTATTTGAATTACGGATTATTTTCTTCAACTTACACCAACTTATTTTTAGAATAGTTTCAAAAGAGCAAATTAATGAAATTATTGTATATTTGTATGTTTCACTAAATTCTCTATTTTTTTTTCTTCCTATCAAAAAAACTTCATGAAACCGAAAATTTGGTTTTTTTAAACGCCACCTGTTTCAAATTTTTCATACATATGGTTTTAGTTGTTTAGAACATTCTTTGTGTATTAGCTTCAAAAAAAATTGGAAAAAATATCGGTATTTGAAAAAGTGAGATTTCAAATTTTTGTATATTTTATTTTCACATATCGAGAATTTTTTCACCAGTTTTATGATTTTTTTTGTTGCCAAACTTCCAGAATGTCGTTCTCACTTTAAATGTATGTAATATGTACTACGTATAGTGTTTGAAGAAACAAGTTGAAGAGATCTTTACAAAATTTTACAAATGACATGAAACGGAAAAATTTGAGAAAAACTGAAAGAAATTGGCATCATTCTAGGCATGAAAAAAATTTCTAAATTCTAAAATCCTTTGAGGAATTGAACTTCTAGGTGGAATACTAGAGATGCGGTGTTATCAACTGACCTACGCGCTTACAAGTGTTAGTTGGCGATTGTGTAGCTCTACAAATGGGGTACTGTATCTATGTACACAGTTGCAAAAATGAGTACTTTCGCTTCAAAAAATCACCGAAAAATGCAAATTTTTAATTTAAAAATTTCCAGTCTTAACAATGTCTTGTTTATTCAAATAGCTGAATTTATTGTGAATTGAGATCTATTTTTGCAAAATTTCCGTGTCTGTTTTCTAGACCCGTCTCATATAATTTATTCCAACTTCCAGTTGCTGTCAAAAAATATATAGACATGCCATCTCGATTTTGTCTCCTTTTTTGCAATTTCATGTTCTTTTTTTTGGCCGCTCATCTCGTTTGATTTCAGTCTTGAAATACCAATCAGTTTTCTGTATGACGTGAGTGGAAAAACGGGTGCTAATCCGGAAAATCAGATTTTCCGAACAAAAGAAAACTAGCGAATTTTACAAATCTTATTTTTATGCCACCCAAAATAGTAGTCTAAATCCTAGAACCAGGAAGTTTAATCGGTTTTTTTTGGAACAAGAAAAAATAGGAAAATCACCGATTACAGTAAATTTTTGTTCGTTTTTTGAAAAATTGAGGATTCAATGAAATAGAACGTTTTGTGAAATAAAAAACTCTTTGGCTTTTAGAATTTTTAAAATTTATTGATATTTCACTCCGGAAAAATTAAGTTAAATAAAAAAAATATTATTTCAGGAAGGTGAAATTAGAAATAATTTTTTAGTCAAACTAATTCCAAAGAACGACACACCCCTCTGATAGTCCAAATGTTTGATCCAATTTATCGCAATTTCGAGCCTCATAAGGGTGAAATAGAATAAACTTTTTTATCTGAAAAAGTAAAGTAAGCAAAATTACTGTTTCAGCAATGTGAAATTATAAGCAGATGATATATTATCATGCTTGAGAGAGCTTAAGTAGTGTTTGTAAACTTAATTTTTAAAAAGCACTGTAAGACCCAAGCGCCCTCTTAACTTTGAGTCTGCTTATCTCGACTTTTAGAACAAATACCAGCAAATGGTCAACTGATAAATGTTTATCATAATATCAGAAAAATGTTGTAAGTTGACACATTTTTCATATCTTTATCAGGAACATGGAATATTTTGGTGCAACGGTAAGACGACTTCGATTGGAGGGTTTTATTGTATTACCCTATATTGCTAATTTGAAACATATTTTATTTCTCTAAAAAAATCATGAAAATTACAGTTTCTGATTGTATAGTTATCAGATATATTTTATTTCACTTCCCTTACACGCTTTGAGTCGAAGGTCGGTAAAAAGTGAATTAGGTCAATTAATAAAAGCAAAAACTGAAAATCCTAATTAAAGGACCCTCTTACCTTCGACTCGATATATCTCGGTTCCTATGAAAAATATTAATAAATGTAAACTGAGTAAATTTTAATCATGATATCGGCAGAATTTTATCAGTTGACAACTTTTTGATACCTCTTACAGGAGTCGAGACTTCTGAAAATGGGAATTTTCAATTAATTACCCAATTTTCACTTTCCAATTTGGACTGTTTCAATATCCAAGTAATATTCTTAAAAAGTACAAATTATTGATGATCAGTTGGAATTGAAATAACGCGTTTCCCGTTTCACTATTTTATTAATTGCTGTTGTTCTCTATTTCTGCACTTTCGATTAATTAATTCAACTGCCACTTGCCAATTTCAACTGTTTCAATGTCCAAGTAACTTTCTTGAAGATTTTAAATTATCATTTTAGGACGCAGTCGTTTTCACGTATCTACAGTAACCCCTTTCATTGCTCATTATTCTTCTTCTCCTTCTTTTCCATTTTCGAACCTTAAAGGCTCCTAAACAATTCCCATGACCCTCCGACTCTCATTTCCCATGCAAAGCGCCGGATTTGATTTGCATTTTTTCTCCTTCTCCTTTATCCATTTTTTCATTAACGCCTTCTTTCGCCAGCGCAGTCAGGAGGGATTGTAAATGAGAAAAAGGATCCGTCGAGTCCTGAGACTGCTCTTTTTCCTTTTTCCCCCGTTTTTCCCAGTGCATCATCTCCCTTTATTTAGACACGGAATGATATATTATTCTACTTTTCCACTCTTCTTCTTTCTCTTTTCTTTCCAATTTAGTTTCACCATGTGTGTTGGTTGCGAGCATTGAGCTCTCTCTATAAAAGAAAACGCGTGGTTTTTCGAAAAATCCAATTGAAGGAAAGAGCAAAAAGCGAAGCCTTCAAAGCTATACACTTTTATGCATTCCTTTACTTTTGGGTCCAGCTTTTACATAGATTGAGATGTGTGCTCTTTTTTATGATGCTCCAAGTTTTTATGGAGTGGAACCTGTGTAATCTCCATTTTTAATCGGGACCGTTATAGGGTTTTTATCCTGTTTTCACTTTTATACTTTGAACTCAATTGTCTCGATTTCTATTATAGCTATCAAAATCCAGCAAACTTATGAAATGTTGGTGATACTATGATAAACATTTTATTAGTTAACAAAGCTTTGATATCTCTCATGGAAAACGAGATAATTGAGCTCAAAATGACTGCGGTGGAGTCAACCTTAAATATTCGACCCACAAGTTCAACTCCACCAATTGCTTCCATTTTTTTTTAATTGATGAGGGTACCTAGTATAGAATTGAACCTGAATTCAAGTTTATGATAATTTTGAAAGAGTAATATTCAATTTCAAGACAGTTTCCGTTTTCTGCCAAAAAGTGATAAATCAATCGTATGTTAATTTTCTTCCGTGGGTTCCCTTTGACAAAAATCAATATCTGTATTTTCGAAGCACAAGAAATTTCTGCGTTTTATTCGATACATAACGATCAGAGAGGAACTAAGAATCCTTTCAAAACCTTCATTTTATGATGTCAATGAAACTGTGATTTTCAGGTTCACCCTATTTTTAATCTACCACCTGTATGTTGAAAAATTCAGTTTTGCTGATTTCGACTAACTATAGCTTATCAGAATTTTGAAAAATGAAATTCGTTTCGACATTTTCTGAAACGCAGTCTTGAACTTATATGTTTCTCACCTATCACAACTTTACGAATCTGCAATTTTCAGTTTGAAACATTTGGAAAGGATCGATTTCTTCTTATTAAACCTCTCATAATGGCGCGTTCAAAGTTGATGTCCAGGAGTAATTTCCTGGAAAAATGCTGTTTAAAGCTGGCATTGTTTTCCAGAGGCCTCCGCTTCGAGACCCGAAATCGACATGAATCAACAGGAAGAACACAGTCAAAACGAGTGATACAGTAGTTTACTGTTGCTGTAAATCTGTAAAACAATCGCAGCTTTGGACAGCGTTTTTCCAGGAAATTACTCCTGGAAATCAACTTTGAACGCGGCATAAACAAATAATGTGTAGCGGTATAATTTTTTTCTGTTCCTCAAAATTTTCATAAATTCTTTGAAAATGGAAAAAAGTATTAGATCAGCCTATTGTGCAGGTAAACAGTAAAATAGAAGTGCGGTGCATTTAATTCATTTTTGAAAAAATGTGTAAAAAAATAAAGAGTTGCCTGATATCAATGAGTCATTTTGGATTATCAAAACCTTTGGGGACATAGAGAAACTGAATTTTTTAATGTTATTTCTATTTCTCATTGATGTTTTTCATAGGAAAAAGTAGGGGAAAAGTAATAAGGCTTTTCCAGTAACTCAACACTTGATGAATCTTTAATTTTTTCTTTCAACATATTCTCATTAATTTCTCCTAATTATACTTATCATAAATGAATAATGTGTAGCGGTACAAATTTTTTTTCTGCTTCCCAGAGTTTTGATTATTTTTTAATAAAAATTGAAGATAGTAGGACCGATTATGAATTCGGTGAACAGAAAGAGAAATTCGATGCAATTAGTTCATTCTTGAAAATTAATGAGCAATTCTGAATCATCAAGGTCTTCCTGGACATCTGGAAACAGTAATTTCTGTTTCTTACTGGTGTTAACTTACATACCATTTATGTAATTTGATTGTGTTAGAAAGCTGATCGTATTTCCGCTAATAGAAGCCCACCTAATTATCTCGATTCCCGTGAGAGATACAAAAAATATCAAACGACGAAATATTGGTGATAATATGATAAACAATTCACCAACTGATCAATTCTTGATATCTTTCACAGAAGTCGTGATAATTGAGCTTAAAGTTGACGGTTTGAGAATTTTATGGGTTTCGTTTAGTGCAAATCAGTTCGCAATTATGTTACTAGTAATATGAGCAGATTCCCCCACAAACGAACGATAATGGACTGATTGGAATTAAATTTCATTGAATTCGTTAATAGAGCGTAACAGAGAAAATTTTCATGGCTATGAAAATTCAAAAAGCGGCTTACTAATCTCGAAAAATAGCTGAAAATCTGGAAAAAACAGATTTCAAGACTCACATGTCAGAATTCTTTTTTCTTGATTTGTTCCCTTTTTTCTTCTATATGTATCATATTTCATCCTTCTCTCTCTCTCTCTCTCTCTCTCTCTCTCTCTCTCTCTCACCTTCGCTAAACCTATTTTTCCACATCTTCATTTTCAGAACCCCCCAAAACAATGACAGACGTCTTCAACAGTTTGCTACCCCCCGATGAGGATCTGGAGAAGCACAAGAAATTCTCAAGTGAGTTATTTTAGTTGTTTTTTTTTAACTCCTTCAACTAAAATAGATTTGGAAGTCAGGCTCATTTTTCATATCTAGAACTTTTCCCAAAAAAAAAAGATATGTAGAGAAAAAAGGGGGATCCCTGAGGAGTATTTGTAACACTTTGGAATACTTGCTCTCTCCAGTAGAACAATTTGACGAATGAACTCTCTCTCTTCTCTTAGAAGATGAGAGTCCAAGTTGCTCCGTGGAGCACGGAGGGGGGCAGCTGATGCACTGCTTCCCCATGATACGGATGAGATAAATTGACAAGTGTCGCAATTTTCCCACATCCAGCTCATCTCGATGTGATTTTTCGTTTTCGATTGCTTGAGAAGCTTGATTTCTGAGATTTCTGAACGCCCATATTCTTTCATCGGAATGTTCTCTAAGTATACCGACAGAAAAAGTGAACTCGTCCCGTTTCTCGATGTTTCTAAACCTAGAGGTTTGTTCAAAGGTTCTTTTTCTTTTTTTCGTTTTCATCATCTACTTCGAATTATCGAGAGAAAGAATATTGTATTTTTCAAGATTTTGAAACAGTAACTTTTAAATATCTCTGAAATCGTCCTGAAAATAGAAAATCATCACTGCAAGATCGAGTTGGTATATTCAGGCGTGTTATTTTGAAAAGTACCTGAAACTGTAAATATGTATTATTTTTTTATTCTTTTTAGGGGCCAAGAGCCGAGTTCAACCGCGTAGTTCAGTTATACAACGTTACGACAACTTCAATATTATTTCAATTTTGCTCTGTTTCACTTAGTAAATACTATTAGCTCTTTAAAATTTAGATGATCATTTAAGAAAAATGTTTTTAAAAATTCAAAATGACCATCTCCCATTTTTGGTACAAAAATGACTGTTTCGAAAACTCAATATTCCGGAGGGAAAATATTTTTTAACGATATCTTGCGGGAATATTCCTAGTTTTTCAGCAATTTACCGATTTCTGGAAGAAATTTGTTTTTTTACGTTGTCAGTTAAAAATGGGTCAAAAAAGGGTGTCTTTAAGCAATCGGACAAAAATTGAAAAACTAGGAATTTTCAAAAAATTCTGTGAACGCAAAGTTTAATCTAGATCTGTTTCACACCCTCCAAAATTGTCAAAGTGATCGTAAACTTGACAACCAAGTTCCACACTCTTAAAATAGTCATAATAGACAAAAATCCACTGAAAAATGGGTGTTTGTGTATTTTATTGACCGGTACAGTAAGTTTAGCTGTTTATCTGATTATTGAAAATGTTGAACAAAAAATAAGTTTTAAAATGACCAATTACTCATTTTTGATATTTTGTTATAAAGACTACTGTTTCGAAAATTCCTTATTTCTGCAAAAAATCATATTTTGACGATACTTCTTTGTCCGCTGTAACTCAGTTCAGAATAACTACTTCTACGAAATAAACGTCGAAATCGGTAAAAAATAGAAACTAAAAAAAACGAAGTTCTCATGTTACACATGCCCCAGTTTGGCGGGATGTATAAAAATAGAGCTGTTTCGATATTTTCTTCAATTTTTAAATATTTTTTAGAAAATAGATTGTATTGTTTTCACAATTTCGGGGGAAGGGAGTTATTACTTTCTCTAAAATAATGGAAAAATATACCGAGTTTGTGAAACCCAATTTTTTTGAATCATTAGTGGAGCGAGAGTCTGCATGTTGGCGTGGCGGTGTACAGTTATGTGTGTTCACACATTTTGCGTGGGCTTATCATAACTCCTCCCATGGCAGCGTAGCTCTAGCACTTCGAACTCAATTATCACACTTCCTATGAAAGAAATAAAAAACTGTCTACAGATAAAATGTTTGTCATAATACCACCAACATTTTATCAGTTTACAGCTTTTTGATATCTCTTATAGGAACCGAAATAAGGGAGCTCAAAATAAGAACTTAGCATGACGTTCAGTTTCAAAATTGCTGTTTCAAAATCTCTGTAAAAATTGGCAATGTATCTCGCAACAATTTGATTGCTCATTTTCAACCAATTTTTTCCAGCCACCGCCACGAGCAAAATGCACTATTTCGACGATATCATTCCATTCGGAGAGTTCGAGTGTCGGGAAGCACTAGAACGAGAGGTCAAACGGCACAGATACTGGAAAAATAAGACAGTTCGGAAAATGAATTTTGATCGGATAGAGACATCGACAAGTATTCAGTATATTCTGGAGTCTTTTACAGAAGCACGGTCAACTTCTGAAGCGAATGAAGCAGCTAATTTTGCAACGATGAGCGAAGCTTCATGTTCGCTGTCCGGAGGGGGCGGGGCTTTGAGTCCGTGGGATTTTGAAGTGCTACCGAATCAATTGTTTGTTGATCAGGTAGGACATGATTAAATTGTTAAAAGTTTTCTGTTTCAATATGTGGTCAAAAAATACAATCAAACGATTCTACATTCTAGTTCTACATTCACCAGCTACTCCAATTTTCAAGATTTTTTAGGTCCGCGTATTTGAAATGCCTGGCTCCAGCCAAATCAATCCCTGCTCCGCTTGCAACTCAGAAGGAACTATCCACTGTTTTCACTGTAGAGGATACGGTACTGATAAGTGCTCGTTTTGTCGGTAAGTCTGCATTTTTGCGGGGTGGTGAACTGTAGCCGCGTAGCTCAGATAACACTCTAAACCCTCTATTTTTGACTCTTGCAAAACCAGTTTTGAATAACTATTTTTGCCGTTTCAGCTCCACCAGCATTTGAGAAAAAAAATCGCGATATTGATAAGAATAAAGGCAAATAAAAATTTGAATTTTATTCGCTGTTTCGTAATCACCAGATATGAAATCGGTATGCTAGTAATTACAGTATTCGGACCAGGTTCAACGAATCATTAAATGTTAAGAAAAAACCGAAATTCGTTAACATTTTTTTTATCCCTGCTGTGAAAATCAATTGCTGTTTCAAATTTTGACAGAGTTGAGGAGATTTGAAAATTTTCACTGATTGAGGAAAACGTACAACACCTAAAACTTTTCATTAGTTTTGAAATTTTGAAAATTAAAAACATAGCAAGCCTTCTTGTATTACCGTAAATGCTCTAGTAGAACGTCACCCTATACTCTCACTTTGTGCTCAACTATCTCAATTTCTATCAGAAATATCAAAAATCTACAAAAATGTTAGGGCTATTATGACAAACATTTTATCAGTTGTCAATTTTAAGATATCTCTCATAGGAACCGAGATAATTGAGCTCGAAGTGTAAGTTCAAGTCACCGCGTAGCTCAGTCGGTAGCAGTGCAATACGCCTGAGATTTTGACCACGAGTTCAAATTCTATATGAGAAAAATTATAAGGAAACTTTTTAGAGAATCTATGAATGGAATTCGGTAACACATGAATTCAGAAAGAGTGTTAAAATAAATCAGACAAAAATATTACAATTTCTCGATTACTGGAAGACTGATACTTTTCCACAAAACATTACTATAGGAGGATTGTTAGCATAAAATTATAATTTTTCCAGAGGAACCGGTATGAAATCTGGTGTCGCCCATCCAGCAGTCTACACCCATCCAATGATAGCCACATTTCCTCACGCTGACCTCTCCCGTGGCTACGCATCGTCTTCAACTGCAATGGTTCGACATGGTGGGTCTGGAAGTGGTAAGCATCTTTTGTTCAACGCTTTTTGTGACTCCTCAGTTTCCTCTAAATGTTGTGGAACTTGTAGAAGTTCCAAATATCTTAATTGTTAATTACCCAATTAATTACCCACAGGAGGCAACACTTACGGAATTGGAACTCCCATGCATTTCATGTCGAAAACCGGGGTTCCACCACCTGGAATCGGGACCCACGATCTTTGTTATATGTGTCATGGTCGTGGAATTAAGGAGTGCCATCATTGTAAGGGCGGTGGAAAGAAGCCGTGTACGTCGTGCTCTGGAACAGGATCGGTTCGGAATTATACGAGGATTAAAGTTTATTTGTGAGTTGGCTTCCATGGGAAAGGGCTGACACGGACCAGCGGCGGGTCAGTGGCGGGGTAGGGGCAGGCCAGTGACGGCCCGAATCATAACTTCTTTCATATTCAACATTTTGAATGCTGCCGAAATGGAATTAATAGAAGTTGAAAAATTCTACCAAATTATTATGTACTTGAAACTGTAGAAAGGTCAAGGCCGAAAAGTGACAAGGATCGTTTCTCAAACCCTTCACAGCTTTGAGCTTATAACTAACTTTATAGAAAAGATAAGTCAAACCATCTCATTTTTTAGTATCTCCTTTTTTAGTATTTTTGGGGTTTTTTTAATTTATGGGGGGGGGGTCTCTTAACTGAAATAAAACCGACGTTATCGAGAGATATCTTTACCACTAACAATCACCAAATTCTGTGTGTGAGTGTGTGTGTCCGTTTGTTCCCGTATCACCTTTCCTAATGCAGTCATCGCTAGATTAAATTTCCCAAATTTTCACAGATAATTCGATATAGCAGCGAGATGAACTTTTCGTTTTTCGAAATTTTTAGTTTGACGTCTTCTGGAGACGTTATTCTATTTTTACAGTGGAAATCTTTTGAAAATAATATTTACGTCATTCCCGTCCAACCCCCTCTTTTTTGATTTTGCGGAAATATTTTTCCAGTTTGAGTTCTGAAGTTCGAAGAGATGGAAAAAAATAATGAAAAAACGGGGGAAATGAGAATGCGAGAGAAACTAGGAGCGCGTTTACTGAGTTGCTTGAACTGTTTGGGCTTTCTGAATTTCCGAATTACACAAAAACTAAGATTCTACTGATTTTGCGATTTTTGTTGTAATTTGGTTTCTAATTTTTCTAGAATGTCGGGTTCGCCCGGATTTCAAATTCTAAGAATATGATAATTTTCAATTTTCCGATTTTCCGAATTACTGAATTTCTGAATCTAGAATCTGAAATCTCTGAAATTCAGATTTTCAAAGCTCAAAAATTGGAACTTGAAAAATTCTCAAACATAAAAATTCGGAAATACAGATAACTTGAAATTTGGTGAATTGAGACATTCTAAAAGTTTGAGATCTAAAATCCAAAAATTTCTAAAGATCAAAAAAATGGGAGATCCGAAATACAGAAACTTCCGAGTTAGGGATTTGAGAACTTTGTAATTTTCCAAACTTCCAAACTTTAGCATTTCCGTTTTTTGGAATCAGGGAATTTCAGGATCTTCAGTTTCAGAAATTGAGCTTCTCCCTAAGTTCACAATAGCCAAATTTCCGAATTTTTAGCTTTGAAATTTCCGAATTTTTAAAAGTTAATGATCTGGATTTCTGATTTTCCAAATTTTTTAATTTCGGCATTTCGAAGATAATTTCGGTGTTTCTATGACTTCAGAGGGCTTTTTAATACGAATTTCCGATTTCCAAATATCTGATTTTCTATATATTTGAATATTTTAAATTTCAAAATTCTGAATTCGGATTCCGATGCCTTTCGGATACACGAAATTTTAAATATTTGAATGTCGAAATTCAGAAATTCCAGGAATTTTGAAATTCAGAAATCAAAGAAATTTCAGAAAATTAAAAAAAACCTTTGAAATTTTTTTGGGAAAAACTTGGAAATTCGGATATTCAAAAATAGCCGAGTTTTAGGAAGTTGACACTTTCTCAATTCCGAAATTTCAAGTTTCCAAACATTAGAATTTGAAACCTCGGGATTTTGGAGTTGCAGAATAAGGGAAAATTGAAAAGTCGGAATTCCTGCATCCCTAACTTCAGAATAGTTCAGATTCTGAATTATTGAATTTTTACATTCTCAGTTTTCCACTTCCAAATTTCAGTATTTGGGTTTGGAGATTCAAACGTTTTAAGTGAAGCCAGGAGATTGTAGCCGCCGACAGGCGGCGGAAATCGACTGGTCAGTTTTTATTTCAAAAACATAAAATTCCAGCAAAAACGAAAAATCCGAGCACTACACGGAATGTGAGATTCCCGAAAAGTTACTGTTCCAAGCAGAGGGTAAACGAATTTTTGAGGAAGAGCAGGAATATGTGAGTTGGTCCCATTTCCCAGAAAAATCTGTTTCCCATTTTTTCCAGATCATCCCCATCTCGAAATACCCGCAAGAAGACGTGAACAACATGTCGAAGCTCTTCTGCGCGCAACATCTTCAGAAATGCATGGGAGTTTGTCGAGTGATTCGGGTAACTATACTTAATTAACTAATTACCCTTAATTACCCTATTAATTATAGCAACGCCATTACATGAATGCAATTCCAATCAGCAAAGTGCACTTCACTGTAGGCAATGAGAAGGGAGTGTTTTATGTGTACGGAACACAGAGGCTATGCTATTTCCCGAATTTTCCGTCGAAATGTGTGATTTTGTAATTGTAATTTTTGAGACGATCAGTCGATTTATAATTCTTTAGCTATCATGGTGTCTTCGATGCAAATAAAGTATTTTTTGGCTTGTATGCAGGTATATGTTGAAATTGGAAAAAATAAGTTCGCTACTTGTTCAAGAATGTTGTGAAACAGAAAACAAGTCGCATTTTTATTCACAGATTGTTGATAATTTGGGAATCCGTCACTTTTGAGGGAAAATAATAACGCCTGAAGTTTTCGTTCAAAAATGAAATTTGTGGGGATGTCCCATCAAGTTTTTTTCCCATCAAGTCCTCAAAAGCTTTTTTATACTTCAAAGTTATCTTTCTTCAAAGTTTATTCTTCAAAATTGTTCGTTCCGTCGAATAAACACAAGAATGTCGGAAACTGGGTCGCAGCCTGAGCCGTGTGTAGGTATTACAGAAAAATTCAAAGTTTATTTGATACAATCATAGGGAAAATCTACTTTCCGTTATTTTCATGGCTTGTCATCATTAAAAGTCATAATTTTTTAATTCATTTTTTTATATTATCAGATCAGAGTGCTTTTGAAAACATCGTATTAATATTGGGATTTCTGAATCGAATGAAACATGGAAAAATTCCGATTGATGAACTTCAAAAATTGATAAAAATCAAGAAGGTTTGAGGCATAAAAAGTGACGGTTTCAGATCTATTGGAAAATTCTGTCGTTTCAACAATCTGGTAACAACTTTTTGTTTTAAAAAATTCTCACTTCAACGTTACAGTTTTTTTTCAAAAGTTCAATTCGCAATCTTTTGATCTCTTCTCAACTAGGTCACTGATATCTATTCTCCTGATCTGTTCCTCTCTATCAGTTCGTGGCACTTATTTGAATCGCTAATAAACCTCTATAAAAGGAGGTGCTGATAGCTGAATCTATACATTTTCTATTTTTCTTTCATGGCTTTATTGGTTCTAGAAAATAATGTCATAATTTCGAATGCGCATTTACACACTCTTTTTGGTTTCAATTTTCGTATTGAATGCTGCTGGATTTTTTTTCTGTAATCACACTGCTCTGCCTGCAGCCCTATTCCCGACATTCTTGTGTTAATTCGACTCAAAGATTTTTACATTTTGGAAGAATCGTTTCAGTCAACTGAAACGGCCTTTATTTCAATTATTCAATTGTTTACAGTTTTTTTCTGAATTCTCTTTTCCAATGCACATTTTTTATTCATTGGTCTCATGATTTTAGGTCATAAGTTGAACAGAGGTCGTTTTCATGAACATTTACCTAGGTAAATGCATTTACTAAGGAAAATATTTACCAAAGGAAAATATTACGTTTACTTTTTGAAATCAATTTACACATTGGAAAATACCGTGATTGGTATTCATGAAAATTATTTTCCTATTGGTAAATGATTTACTCACTTGATTTTATTTACGAACGTTGGGGGTAGGAAAATAAGATTTTCCTTACTGTTTTGATGAGTTTTAAAGGGGGACTCCGACCAGAAATTTTTATTGCATTAAAATGTGTTAAAATTTATCTATTTTTCAAATATTATTGCGAAAAAATTCAAAGAAAATCCGAAATCCCCGAAAAACGGCGTTGAAAAGGAAGAAAATTCAAAAAAGGTGCCGCCGTAGGACGAGGATTTTCAGTGAGAAACCTAGGCCACGGCACCTGACAGCCTTTTTTTCAAGTCGCCGACAGTGGTTTCTTACGTTTTTTACCTGCCGGACATGAAATTGAAAAAAATCCGGGAATTTGCCACATAGGAAAGGCGCCCGCTGCCGTGGCCTAGGTTTCTCACTGAAAATCCTCGTCCCCCGGCGGCACCTTTTTTTGAATTTTCTTCCTTTTCAACGGCGTTTTTTGGGAATTTCGGATTTTTTTTAATTTTTTCGCAATAATATTCGAGAAAATATATAACTTTTAACACATTTTAATGCAATAAAAATTTTTGGTCGGAGTCCCCCTTTAAGATGTTAAAGTTGAAATTAGGAAACTGGAATTTTGAATTTTAATGAAACTGAGAATAATATAAAGACAGATACTATATTAACATAAAAATAAAATGGAAAAATAAACTTTTAAAAATTGAAACCCCCAAAAATCACTTCCACAATAGGGATCCGAATTTAAAAAAGAGGGATAAGCTTTTACGTGAAAATGAGCTTTTCAATAAGGTTCCGAAAAAAGCTCAGTCATGAGCTTAAGCTCACGTGAGCTCATCATGAAGCAGGCTCATACGAGCCTTTTTCGACTCTACGTCAAAGCTCATATAGGCTCATTTGACGAAAATATTGATTTTGAAAAAAGCTCATCGAGGCTCATTTGACGTAATTATTGATTTCGATAAAAGCTCATCAAGGCTCATTTGAAAAAAAGCTCACGTCTCTTTTTCCAAAAAAAAAGGCTCACGGAAGCATAGTTCAAAAATGAACTGGAAAAATGTTCACATGGCAAAAATAATAATATCAACAAACACTTTAGCCAAATATTCAACTAAGTGCTCTGATGGGCAGAAACGATGGTGGCCTGAAAAAAACAATGGTGGCCTAGAAAAATTATCTTGCAAAAATTAGGTCATCATGTGAAAATAGCCTAGAAATCATATCAGGTGCATATCAAGCCATTTTTTTCACTTGGTGTCCTAATTTTTGCAAGTGAGTTTTAGACCATCAAGTTTTATGGCCCAGAAATAGTCTGGCATACACCTAATATGTTTTCTAGTCTATATTGACACAGTGGCCTATCTGTTCCTTGTTGAGTTCTTTAGGCAACCATTTTTATGTCGAAGAAATCGTGTAGCATTCACCTGTTATTTTTTCTAAGATATTTTCACATGGTGGCCTAACTTTTGAAAGATGAGTTTTCTAGGCCACCTCGTTAAAATGACTTAGAAAACGTATCAGGTGAATGTTATAACATTTTTAGGCCATAGAAATAGGTGCCCTAGGGAACTCAACATGCAATAGTAGGCCACCTTGTTAAAATGGCCTAGAAATGACTTGATATTTAGAGTATTCCATGGCCACTCATGATTTTTCCATGATTTCAATGATTTTTTTCTGATTTCTTTTCTTTGTTTATTTATAATGAGCCATATGAGCTTCTTAATAAAAATCACAGAAAGGCTCATGAGCCTTGATGAGCTTTTCGATAAAACTAAAAAAGAGTCGCGTGAGCTTTTTTTTTTCAAAAAGCTCATTCAAAATCAAATGAGCCTTAATGAGCTATTTGAAAAGTAGGGTTCCGAATTTGAAAAAGAGGGATGAGCTTTTACGTGAAAATGAGATTTCTTCGACATAAAAATGATTGCCTAATGAACTCAACAAGGAACAGATAGGCCACTGTGTCAATATAGACTAGAAAACATATTAGGTGTATGCCAGACTATTTCTGGGCCATAAAACTTGATGGTCTAAAACTCACTTGCAAAAATTAGGTCACCAAGTGAAAAAAAAATGGCTTGATATGCACCTGATATGATTTCTAGGCTATTTTCACATGATGACCTAATTTTTGCAAGATAAGTTTTCTAGGCCACCATTGTTTTTTTCAGGCCACCATCGTTTCTGCCCATCAGGGCACTTGATTAGTTGAATATTTGGCTAAAGTGTTTGTTGATATTATTATTTTTGCCACGTGAACATTTTTCCAGTTCATTTTTTGAACTATGTTTCCGTGAGCCTTTTTTTGAAAAAGAGTCGACGTGAGCTTTTTTGCAAATGAGCCTTGATGAGCTTTTATCAAAATCAATAATTACGTCAAATGAGCCTATATGAGCTTTGACGTAGAGTCGAAAAAGGCTCGTATGAGCCTGCTTCATGATGAGCTCACGTGAGCTTAAGCTCATGACTGAGCTCTTTTCGGAACCCTAATTGTAAGTATACTTCATTCAATTTGCACATTAAAAGAATTCACACATTCTTTTGACGTTCAAACTTGTTTTTCATCTGTGTCATCGCTCTTCAATCAAGTTTGCAACTGCATAGCTCATAGTCAGTTAATATAGAAGCTTCAATAAGTAAGCTAACTTTTCACTCTCTAATTATTCACACTAAGCTCTCCAACTCATCACATCCATCACCACGTCATTGCCCCCAATGCGCTCCTTTAAACGACCGCGAACGACTTCATCATCTCCGTCTCTTCTCTCTATCATCCCCCCCCCCTCGTTCTCCATTCCTCACATATAAGATTGCATGTCAACACCATTCGAGGAGTCGCTTCCCTCCTTTTCTTTTCCAAAATTGTGTCTCTGTTTCTTTTCCAATGGCTCTCTCAAGTGCGAGACACTATTTCTTCTTTCCCCCCTTCTCTTCTGGAGAGCTGACGTCTTCTTCTTCTTCTTCTCTTCCTGAGCGACGCCCGTCGACGCAACAGAAAGAAGCAGTTGTAGCCATTGCTTGAATTCGGAATTTATTTGAGCACACACACACAGACAGCCCTCACTTTTCTCTTCTTTTTCTCCCCACCCCAATACTTTTTCTTTCCCCCCTTTTTCACGGGTCCCCACAACTGCTTTTGTGTCGATTTTTTTGTTCCCCTCCTCTGTCTTCCTCTTTTTTCCTTTCTTCGTTCTTTTTTTATTTCTCCCCGACGTTTTTTTCTCCCTTTTCCGAAAACGCTAACTTCTTTTTTCACAACTTTCGGAATGTTCTAGAACAATTTTCTGGAGAAATATGGTTGTAGCGATAGTAACCAAAATTGTAAGGTTTTTGAAACTGTTCCAACAAGATGTTATAGAATTAGATAATTGAGAATTCTTCAATCATGCTTTAGGACATTATAAAAAATTGTCTTCGAAAATCTCATCGATTGTTTCTTACACTATTCGCAAATTTTGAAAACTGTGTGTAGCTGGAAAAAGTTATGAAAGAAAAGTCGTTATTACATTTTCTTGATTCTTTCCTCCAAATTTCAGTCGGGGTATCGAACTTGAGGCCTAACTAAATATCAAAGGTGCTGCATTTCTACCAACAGAGCTACGGGGTCGCAGCAGGCGCTTACCTACCTTATGGCGTAGATAAATGGGGTACGGTAGCCACAAAAGGTGTAAACAGCGATCACTGTACACAAAGACGTAAAATGCATCCTACCAAAACACTCATAATTCCTCCTATTCCTTGTTTTAAAAATTTAATTTAACCGTTTCACAAATCTCACATTTTCTGTAAATTCATAATATTTTGCAGGAATCTTCATGTTATTTCCCTATTTTAAAACGTTCAATAAACTTCTCGAAGCTTGTTCTTATTGAAAAAATAGGCTCCGCCGCTTTTCTGTAATCGCTACCTATGATAAATTTCTTGATATCCTCTGATGATCATGAAACGATTGAATCAAAATTTTTTTTTTATTTTTTAAAACTTTGGAAAACAGTAATTTTTGAACACTTTTTTATTATTCTAATCGTGATTGTTTCTATTTTTATCTTTAAAAATCCAGTTTTCAGTCATTAACCTTCAAATACACACAAAATGGGTCAACAAAACTCGGGATTTGTCGTGGAGATTGCAAGTCCCAGGCTGGGACGATTTCAGGTAATTAAATTATCATGTTCCGTGTCGTCCATTAGGAATTGAAACAAATGTTCCTAGTTAGAAACAACTTGGAACTGATTTTTTTTTGAAACTCAAAAGTAGTTTTTTGAGCTCAATTATCTCGGTTCCTATAAGAGATACCAAAAATATGAAAACTATGAAAATGTTGGTGATATTATGAAAAATCTTTTATCAGTTGACCAATTTTTGATATCTCTTATAGGAACCAAGATAGCTGGGCTCAGGTGCACCAATCAACGAAATTGTTTTGTTTTTAGTACTCCCCTCATCTAACCGACCACAACCAATTTCCAATTCTATTTCCCTCCCCCTTGGGAAAATCATTGTGGGGAATGAAAATAGGAAAAAGATGAGCAATCTCTCCGCTCTCTCTTCCACCAAACATTCATTTTCTCTAGATTGAGTACCCCAGCAGTACCTCAATATAAAGATGCAAACAAGGGGGCCAATGGGAATCGTGGGAACCAAGGATTGAAGGGAAATACGAAAACTTCAAATTTACCATTTTAACCTTAAAATGTTATTTACAGCTCAGGATAGAATGCAAAGTAGCAAAGATAGAAAATGAGAATTTTAAATTTCCAAAATGAATCTGAAAATTTTTTAGGCGGTCCCTCAAAAAGATCCCGACGAAAGCAATCCGGAATGGAGGATTACTGTAAACCCGGCGGCTGAACTGGTTGGGTCGCCAAGGTTACGAGCACTTATAGATAGGCTCTACCATCATCAGAAGTTGCTGACGGATTTTGATGCTAAACAGGTTGGTTTTTGGGGCCACTGTCTCGGCGTCCGAGGGCCGGCCGACTCAAATTCAACATTCGAAATTTCAGATTCTCTCTGCGCTTCAATGCATGGACCCAACCGCTGAGCTCCTTCTTCCCCTACTAACAGTGCTGTCTAATGCAACAGCTTATCCTTCGAATCAGCTACTCATGAGGGAATTTCGGTTGACGAATCGAGTCGTAGAGATGTTACCGGACTCGAAGCACTGGCCAAGATCAACGAGAGTCATTTTACTTCAGTGCATAGCGAATATGGCAGTTTCTTCGGATAATATGGTAAGATTTCTTGTTATTTGGAGAGAAAAGACTTATAAACTCAACTTGAACAAATACAATATTGTCTAGGGAGCGTATAAAAAAGCAAAAAAATTATGACCCCTAAAATAATTGAACCCGCGAGTTCTAGATTCAAAAACATATGCTTTACCTGTTGGGCCATGTGGGCGCCGAGTCTCGCCACGTGAATGAAAATCAAGAGAGATAGGGCCTTATGAAAGATAGGGCCTTATGAAAGTGAGGGGCACCACCATAGCTTGCGTTGCCGGCGCTTTGGCAAATTGGCGCAATGGGTAAAACGCCTGACTATATATCTGAAGGTGGTGGGTTCAATTCTTCTTACTGCCAGAACCTAGCTCATAGAATCCCAACCTACCGTTATCACTCTAATAGAACCCTTAAAGGTGGGGGGACATGAAAAAAATAATGTTCTCGAAATTCCGTTCAAAGATGCCTCTCGAGGAGTTGAACTTGTGAGGGCGATGATTGAGGGTGCGGCGCCGCTACCGACTGAGCCACGCGGGCAAAGAGAAAGCGCACGCCCGTTTGCATGCATAAAGGCGAGGGCGACAGCTGTACGCAGAGTGACATTAAGCGTTGTACACCGTGACGGTAGAATGCATACTCTAGCTACAAAAAAACTACGAAAAATCTCCTGTCCCCCCACCTTTAATGTAACCGTTTTCACAGAATATCTAAACTTTTTTTTCAAATCACTATTACTCGCAAATTAAAATTTAACAAAAATTGATGTCTCATGACATTCATATAACAGTATTTAGTTTTTTTTTTATAAACGATATTCAATGTAATAGAAATGACACTTCTTTGTACACAATTATCTCGGTTCTTTCAAAAAAATCAAAAATTTTTCAACTGATCAAGTATCTTTCTTATAAATAAAACGCTAGAGACGTCTTTTGGCCCCCCTGCCAGTCTGTGGACTTTTGAAAAAGTGAAAAAATAAATATAGATTTGCGTGAGCCTTTATAGAAAAAAGAGATTATATCGCGCCGAAGGCGCTCCAGCTTGCTGGTTTATCATTATATCACCAACATCTTAGTAGTTAACAAATTTTCGATATCTTTCATAGGAACCGAGATAATTGAGTTCAAAATGTATATGCTTCTATTAAAGCAAATACGATTTGCTCTCACTTTGAACCCAATTACCTCGGGTCCTATGAGAGATATCGGAAATCTGTCAACTGATTTCACGTTTATCATATTATCAACAACATCGTTGTAGTTTACAGATTTTTGATATCTCTTATAGAGATTGAGATATTTGAGCTCAAAGAACGCAAAAAACTGTTTCCGGTTCCAAGTTGAATTCAGCTTAAAGGTGGGGGGACAGGAGATTTTACGGGGATTTTTGGGGCCAGAGTATGCATTCTACCGTGACGGTGTACAACGCTTAATGTCACTCTGCGTACAGCTGTCGTCCTCGCCTTTATGTATGCAATCGGGCGACCGTTTTTTTTGACCGTGTAGCTCAGTCGGTAGCGGCGCCGCACCCTCAATCATCGCCCCAACAAGTTCAACTCCTCGAGGGGCATATTTAAGCGAAATTTCGAGAACATTATTTTTTCATGTCCCCCCACCTTTAAAGGAGTGGATAATTCCAATTTTTCGAAACTTCAGGAAGTCATGAAACTTGCACTAAACCACATCGTCTCTCGTCTAACTTCAGAAGACGAAATGGAAGTCGTCGTCGCGATGCAAGCCCTCACCAACCTCTCCATCAATATTCGAAAAGAACAAATCCCAAAATTCGTTCCTGTCATCCCCCATTGTCTGAATCGGTTATGGGTTCGTGGTGAAGTAAACCTAAATGCACTTCGATTGCTAGTAAATCTTTCCTGCTGTCCCGATATGGTACCCTATCTCCTTGGAAATAAGTCAGTGTCTGGTCTTCTACGAATTCTGGATACCGATAGAGAAGAGGTTCTGATTCGAGCGGTGACCTGGATTTTGTGTACAACTTCTGCGGTGGATGCATTGAATTTGACCTACGATCGGATAGCGGAACATAATTTGGTTAGTGTTTCTTTCTTAAAATCTGCCTTTGAAACGCTATGATTTAGGACCCATTTCACAACCCATCTCATACATTATACTTCTCAATTTATGGTCCGAAGGGGAGAGAAGAATTGGAAACTCAGGCTCGAAACTTGTTGAATCATGCGAATAAGGATGTGGCTAGTAAATCTGCAAGGCTACTGGAGACATTAGCTAATGTGAGTGTTGAACTAGGGGGGCCGTGCCGCTACCAACTAAGCTAAGCGATCACAGGCGTTTGTCATAATGTCAGCAATGTTTGTTCAGTTTACAACTTTCTGCTAGCTCTTACAGAAATTGAGATAATTGAGCGCACATCCAATGGAGAGCATTTACGACCTCTATTCTTACAGGTCCCGCCATTCCCCACAGCCGGAAGTCACCTCAACCGTCTATGATCTTTCCATCCATTGCTCATTTTTACTCTCCCGATGATTACGTGTTCCAGAAAAAAACAAGACGAATAGAATACACTAACGAAAATGAAACAATTCACTTTTTTGTCGGTGGCACCCACCGGGTTTTACATGAAATAATTATGCTCTAATAGAACGTCTGACAAGCCCTATTATCTCGGTTCCTATGAGAGATAACAAAAAGTGATAAACTAGTGAAATGTTTTTGATAATATGACAAACGTTTTTGTAGTTTGCAAATTTTCGATATCTCTTACAGGTACCGAGAACATATAGCTAAAAGTTCAGTGTTCCATTAGGGTGTTCCAGATTTTTTCTCTGTCGAAATTTTCATTAAATTAATGAAGTTATATATTATTCGAACTTAAATTATGAAAAAGAGACCGAACGAAGTAGAAACTTATTTGTCTTTATGATAAAGTCAAGAATCAGTAAAAAATTTTCAAACAATTTTTAGGCATCAGTGACAAAAAAAAGAAAAATACTCTTTCATGATCGAGGCATTTTTCAGTCCAAAATTGTGATCGTTTACATACTCCATCTCGATTAAGTAAAAAATCTGGTAGATATTTTTTATTTGAAAAAGTAAATTTTATGTCTGGTTTTTATTCACCTTGACCTATCTGATAACTAATCAAAACAGAATTTTATTGAGCAAATAAAGTGGAAAAAGGAAACAGAAGGGTGGAAATCTTTAAGAATTAAATGAAGGGCTCACTGTTACGTTTGAGTTCAATTATCTCAATTTTTATCCGAGATATCAAAAATGTGTCAACTGATAAAACGTTTTTGACATTATGATAAATAATTTATTAGTTGACGAATTTTTCATATCTTTGACAAGAAACGAGATAAATGGGCTCAAAGTTGAGTAGGTGCCATTTCTATTACAGGTTTTACGGTAAATATTTGTTTAATATGAGTGTAATCATTGCATCAAATATTGAAAATTAATAACAGCATTGAGAAATAGACAATCTAATAATTATCATACTCATATTGGTTGTCGTAGTCGTCGAATTCGTCTTCAAGGTAACCTTCATATTCAGAATCCTCATCCTCCTTGCTGACGTCACCATAGTCTCCAGATCCTTTCTCATCATCGTCTTCCTTGTCTTCCTCATCAATGTAATCGCTAACATCATAGTCGTCCTTCAACTCCTGATTCCCATAGTCATAAGCACTACTTCCACTGAACCGAAGGGTGCCTTTAGTTTCCAAGTAGTACCTTTCCACTTCCGTGAGATCTTCCCAGTCCTGGGTCCCTATTTGTATAGGATCGATCTAAAAAAAACTTTAGGTTAGTTGAAAAAAATGCTCTAAAAACTTACAGGCGCGAAAGTTGCAGAATCGTGCCATCCATTTTTGTTTTTCGGCACAATCAAAACTTTTCGTGTTCGAGATGGATCGAAAATGTATCCATTGGCAATAGGAATTATAATCAAGAGCAAGAGAGAATAGCGAGGCATAGGATGGTGAGAAAATGGATGGAATGAGTAAATCGGGGGACTCATGATCTATATAATCTGCATTTGATCAATTGACGATGTGAAGACGATGTGGAGGCGGAACCTAATATATGTCATCATTGAGGTTATTACAATCAGTTGTAATATTAGGTTGGCTAAAAAATAATGCGCGTTTTTATGATCAATTAAATTTATCATAAAAACGGAAGTAGACAATATTAATCCAAAAGCTATTTGCCATGATTATCAACTACTTGTCGCTAACATCCGCGCTAAAAATGGGTTTCGCTGTGGAAGAACTCCACTGTGACTCAAAGTAGGCGACTACCCATTTTTCGGTCTCATACCGGCTTTCGGAGTGGTTCTAGGCTAATGAGGGTCGCATAGATCTGAATGAAGGGAAATCGGAAGGCGCTAAATCAGGGCTATTTGGCGGATGAGGAAGAGCTCCCCAGCCCGATTCCTCGATTTTCTGCTGAGTGACTTATGATACATGCGGAAGAGCATTATCATGAAGGAATCAACGCTTTCTGCATTTGGCTCATTTATCATTGGTAGAATTCAGTAGTGGCTGTTAGACCTTGTTCCAGAACTTCAAACTGTACAAGACCCTTGCTCTTCTACCATACATAAAGCATCACCTTCTTTCCGTGTATCTCTCGTTTCGAGCTGTTATGGCCGGTTCTCCAGGGGACAACCATTGTCTATTTCAAGTAGTATTATCGTATTGAATCACTTTAACAAGAGAATCAAAAAAGGCGATATTCTTCGAGTGAAGAAGGAGAATTCCGATAGGTGCGGGGAGAGGGTTGTTGTGGGAAAAACTTTCCGCACCTGTTCGATTTTCCAATTTGTGCAAATGGTTTTCGATAGTACCACCATTAGTACAAGAAAACTGTTCTCCAAGACTTCGAGTCGTTTGACAAGAATCCGATTCGTTTACGTCCCTCAGGAGTTCACTGTCAATGATTTTTGGTCGAACGGTGTGTTCACGGTCTTCCAAGCTTTCATCGCCATTTTGAAAACGTTCAAACCAGCGTCGGCACTGATTCTCTTATAGAGAATTATGTTTCAAAACTTTTGAGAACGAGAACGAAGAGCTTGTGCGACATTTTTGACCAACTTAAATTTGTACTCTCCACCGCATTTTTTGGAACGACATTTTCTAAGCGAAATCGCCAATTTATAAGAAAAAAAAATGACAAACTAAGATTATATATCAAACGATGCGCAAAGAAACGCTCTTTCGAATAAAAAAAAAGTGGGAGCAAAAAAGTTTTCTGGATAGAGAAATACGTTCCGACAAACGCGCAGCGCATTATTTTTTAGCGAACCTAATAGTAAATTGGTATTGTTTTAGGGTTATCTCCAGTTGTAAAATAAAAATTACCGTTTCTGTATGACCGAATACTTTTGCAAGAGTTACTGCTTTTTTAATAAATCTGTGCAAATCCAAACAGTTGCATTGCTGATTAAAGTTACTGTAAAAACAAGACTGTGATACGGTCAACGGTAATATTGCACAGCTTTAATCCAGGATTAGAAGGACCCTTTAATTTCCCACTTTGAGCTAATTAGAGAAACTTGAATCCGTTGTAAAGTGAGAACTTGGACCAATTGAAAATTTTTTTGCTGTTTCATGATTTTCATATTTTCAAACTAACTAGCATTGCACACTCGCTGTTCGATTTTCAGAAAAATATCGAATTTCTCAAAAACTTTAAAAAAAAGTTTGATCATAATAACTGAAACATTTTTTTTAGTTTACTGAGAAAACAGGGCTGTTTTATAGTTACCGTATTTCCTCTAATAGAAGCCCATGGGCTTCTATTTTTCAACCTCCATCTGTACTAGAGGGTTTTCGGTTTTCAACTGAACTGAAATAGTTATAAAACGACAAGAATTAACGGAAAGTACCAGAAAAATAAACAAAAAAGAGTATTGATACCCTAACCGAAAAGAAAATGCACAGCCAGGGTGGGCTTCTATTAGAGGTGGGCTTCAAATAGATGTGGGCTTCAATTAGAGGAAATACGCTAATTGTTTTTTCAGGCGTTAGGGTTTCCTCCGGTTGTAGAATTGAAAACTACTGTTTCTGCATTTTTGTGAATGTTACATATTTCGTTTGTATTGATAGGGTTTTGGCAATCCGTTTTTTGTACATTGTGCATATTTAACTTTGGTGTGAAGAATCTTCTTGGTGACCTTATCGGTTGGAGGCATGAATTTATATAACAATTGTTTATTTCTCGACGTTTCGGCAACTCGCCATCTTCAGGAAAAAGGATAATTAACTAAAAATACAAAGAATGTTATCCGGTGTAGATTTTAGGTGAAGCCTGATAGAACCGTAAGGAAACAAACAGTGACAAATTCTTCACACCAAAGATTTTGTTTGTTTTGATTGACATCAAGAGTTAAAACAACAATTATTATACTCACAAAAATACGGTAATTGCTCTAATTAAAGCCCATATCTGCACTTTGACCTCAATTATCTCGCTTCCTATGGGAGATATCAAAAATTTGAACGGACAAAACTTTTACCACATTATCAAAAACATTTTGTTAGTTGGTAACTTTTTGATAATCTAACAGGAACTGAGAAAAACTGGGACAAAATTGAAATTCTTTTTCGGGCAGTCCAAACTAATACTGAGTTTTTATTTCAATATGTACATAAGCTTCTAATTGTAAGGCGCATTTTACTGCCAAAAGTAGTTAATTTTCTATTGAAAACACAGAAAACTTGCAAATGCGATTTATTGCAATCAATTCTGTATGAACAAATATTTTTGCAACTTTTACTGGTTTTTTGTTCATTTGGGTTGACTTACAGCAATAGTTACGACATTAGCTACATTGTTGCTTTCAGAAGTTTAAGCAACTTTATCTCCTTTTCTGTTGAAGATATCGAAGAGTTTCTAAGTGATGAAATATTGATGATATTATGATTAACAATTCATTAGTTTACAACTTTTTCATAGCTCTTACAGAAATTGAGATAAAATTTGTTAAAGTAGATAGGTTTTTGAAACGAAATAACTCCACAGGATCACACAATTTGAGGTACTTGAACTTATTAAGTAAGAGAACTTGAATGAGTTGAAAAAATTGTTTTGCGGTTTCATGATTTCCGTATTTTCAAACTAACTGGAATTACTCATTCGGTTATTTCTCATACCAACTTCATAATTTTGATCCTTGAAAGTTTCAAAAATGATGCTAAATTTGGAAATAGCTTTTCAGGAAAAAGGTTAACTTCTGAAAGTCACAAAAACTTTTTGGGAAAAAATGGTCCATCATAACAACAACAAAAATTGTGTTAGTTGATCATTTTTTGATAGCTCTTACCGGAACCGAGAAAACGGGGCTATTTTATGGTTAACTACTTTTTCCGGCACTTGGTACTAGTACAAGAAGTAGTTGGAAATATTCAAAATTCAGTTCCAAAGATTAGTGACAAATTGATTCTCTTTTTTAAATGGAGATTATTCAATACGAATTTGAAACTGGCACTTTTTTCAATAATCTTTTAATGCGCTTTCAACTTTCTGGAATAGTTAACATTCTATTGAAAAGCAGAACGCTTGCAAACGCGCTCTATCGCAATCTATCCAATACGAATTGAATGGAGAACGATAGCCCGCTAAAGAAGACCCAAGAAGATTTACTGAGGAGAGACATCTGAAAAGAGAGAAAAAAAAACGCGAAAACAGTTTTTATATTTTATAATTATTTATTAATATTTTAGGAACGTTTCAAGGTTTTTCAGAGTATATACAAATACCAGTAGTATTCAGAGGGGGCGTTACAGGGGATTTAAAGGGAAGAAGCATAGAAAACTAGCGAAGATTTCTATGCAAAAAGAAAAAAGAGAGAGAGATCCGTATAGAGGGGTGGGTGGGGAGGAGCAGCATGAAAAATTTAAGCCTTCTTTGGTGCAGCCTTGGCAGCGGCCTTCTTTGGAGCGGCCTTCTTGGCTGGCGACTTGGCGGCCTTCTTAGCAGCTGGCTTGGCGACCTTCTTTGGGCTCTTGGCCTTCTTCACCTTGTCTCCGGCAGCCTTCTTTGGCTTGGCAGCGGCCTTCTTTGGAGCGGCCTTCTTCTCTCCGGTGGCGGCCTTCTTGGCGGCTGGCTTCTTGGCGGCAGCTGGCTTGGCGGCGGCGGCGGCCTTCTCTGGGACACGGAATCTTCCATTGGCTCCGGATCCGGCGGCTTGGACGAGGGCCTTGGAGGCGACTCCTCTCTTGAGGGCTTGACGGAGGTGAGCGTTGATCTGGAAGTAAAGGAATATTGATTGGGGGAATTTTAAGGAGAGTTATTTTTGCTTTTAGCTATTTTCAAATTTAGATTTTGTTTAGATCCGAAGGAATAGGCGAAAACGTTTTTTTTTTGTTTTCTAAATAGCTTCCTAAATAAGAGCTTTCTAAATAAAAAATGAAAAATTAACTCACTTGAACAACATTCTCTCCGAGCTTGTAGTTGGCAGAGATGTGCTTGAGGATGGCTTGCTTGGAAGCTCCCTTGCGATCCTTGATGGCCTTAACGGCTTCCTTGATCATGTTGATGTATGGTGGATGGGCGGCTGGGGTCTTGGCCTTTGCGACCTTTGGGACCTTTGGAGCCTTGGCTTTTGGGGCCTTAGCCTTTGGGGCAGCGGCGGCTGGGGCAGCAACTGGGGTAGCAGCAACGTCGGACATTGTTGAGAACGGGAGAGAGACACTTGGAAAGTGATGGTTTTGGTCGACAACCCCGTCTCTCTTTTATACGGCATCCACCACCCTGCGGGGACACATCGCTGCACGCCCCTCGCGACGCCGAATAGCACACGAGGCGCGAAAAGCGATATAAGCAGAAAAGCGAGCATAATCAGTATTTTAAATTAACTTTTGAAAATTCTTTTTTGACAATCCTGTAGACGGAGACTTCCTCTACAACATATCCAAAATCCGGTCAAAAATGACTAAGAATGAGTGCGTGGCAAAGGCTCAAAGTGGGGAAAGTGGTTTGCGCCCGAGTTGGCCTCCTTCAAAGGGACATATCTCCTCGAAATGATAAGCTATCACTCTGAAACAAAGTTTGTTGAATAGCCAAAGACTTTTTCTACACGCTCATATAAGTTTCATTTTGACATGAGCAAATCTTGGCGTTGAGAAGTTGGTTTTTTCGAAATTCTAATTCTGAACTCTGACTTTAACTCGATTTTTCTCCCGATTTTCAGCAGCGATCCCCAACTTCTTTTAGTTCATTCGATAGCTAAAACCTCCAGCCTTAATTTGCACACAAAATCAAAACAATCTCATTGGTAGTTTTAGAGTTATTACAGTTTTCCTGGCGCCACCCCATCCAATTTCTATGTGTTGTTTTCGCTCGGCGAGACCCGCGTTGTTCAGAGAACACGTGCTTTCAGAACGAGGAACACTTTGGAGAAAGACGATTTCTGATATTTTAAGATTTGGGAAGCTATATGAAGATATTTTCAGATCATTTTCAGATATTAGGAATATGTGCTGAAAATCCGTAGGCTAGGATGCAACGTCACCGTAAAACCTGTAATAGAAGTGCCCCTTCACTCTTAACTGGTTACCAATTTTTCTCGGTTCTTGTAAGATATATCTAAAAGTTGTAAACTGATGAAATGTTCATCATAATATCCTTAACATTTCATCAATGGACAGATTTTTGATATCTTGCACAGGAATTGAGATAATTGAGCTCAAAAGGGGTGCTTCTATTTCAGGTTTTACGACATTTCGAGGGTCTCCAAAGATTGTTGTTCTAACAATTTTAAAAATTGGAAGGGTCTAAAATCTGCATTGCTTTCAATTTTTGGTAATCTGAAAATGCTGAAACTTAAAAAAAAACAAAGGAAAAATGTATATTAACGACAACAATCCAATGGTATTTCCCAGTTTCAACAGCATTATATCAATTTGTAGAAACAGCAGAAACACAATAAATCGGGATTTGTTATACTATAATTTGAAGGTCCCTCTTTTTATCATTTACATCTCCCATATTCTGTTCCAGCATCCTATTTTGTTTCAGTAAACTTTTTCTCAATCCTTTTGAATTTCAAACTTCAAATTTCCCACCTCATCCTTCTTTTTTTCATTCGACCCAATTTGTTTTGTTATGTCAGGCACGTACAAAATATTAACTGTATTCAACTCTGGGTATTCTGAAAATGCTGAAACTGGAAACATTTTTTTTGAAATTAATTTTTTGAAAAATTGAGTTCTGACAATTTCAATTCAATATTTTTTCTCCCAGTTTCAACAACATTTCATCAATTCATAGAAATCGTAAAAAACACAATGCGTCATCGTTAATTACTCCTTTTTTTTTCTTCGTGTTTTCCAATTCAAAAAAAAACACTATAAATGCTTAATTTTGATGCTCAATTCCAATGTTGTTTTTCTCAGTTTCAAAATCTTTATATAAATTCATAGAGATAAAAGTAAAACAATAATAGATAGTTGAACTTGGATTCAAAAAAACCCTATAAACGTTCGATTCATCTTGAGATCTCGGTCCATATTGGATGCTCCAAACTCATTTAGATCCTCATATTCTATTCCAGCGTCTTTTCTTGTTCCAGAAGATTTTTTTTCAATTTTTTCTAATTCCGATTTCCGAATTTCCCGCCTCACATCTTCCTTCTTTTCATTCTACCCAAATATTCCTCGTCTTCCTTTCCCACTCATTATTTTTCCTCCACACCCTTTTCTCCCCCTATCTCACAGGTCACCACCCAACACCATCATCACCACCAGCAAAAAAAGAAGCAGAGGACGATGACGTCAGCAATTTCTCTGCGTCTAGCCGATTCATATGACGTCTCCTGTAGGACGGTATATGTGTGCGCGCGCACATTTGGCAACGTGCCAACTGTTGGTGGAAGACAGATTGGGGTGGTGGGGAAAGATTGATGAGCAATGGGAATGTTGTATAATCAGATTGTTTAGGGGTATTTTCAAAAGAAAACGTATTATCTGATTGCTTGGAGTTACATCCCATGGGAAAACCTGAAACCTGTAATAGAAGGGCCCTTTGTAATAAAAAGGTTCTCTAGATTTGCCACAAAATATATCGATTATTGTAATTATTGTGATAGATATCAAAAGTGATCAACTAACAAAATGTTTATCCTTATATCAAATACATGTATCAGTTCAAAACTTTCTAATATCTCTTTTAGGAATCGAAAAATAACGGATGAAAGTTGGTAGAATCTTACTAGGGAAGGTTGTTTGTGGGTTTGTATTCTCAGCTTTCGAATGATATAGGCCTCAAATCAAAGTCCCATACCCCAGTTACAACCTTCCCTAGTTAGTAGCCTTCATACGTAAGCTGATTCACGGAGTGATTCACAATGCAAGTGACATAGGTTCATAATGAAAATGGAACAGTAATTTTTTTAAGATAGGCGGAAACGGGGGATAACTGAACCTTATTTTTGATGGATCAAAATTCAAGGATTTTGCATTCTGATTCATTTAAAGCTTCAAAAGTTATCTAGACAGCATTTTACAGATTTTTAGGGGGAAATTTATTTACAAAACTTTTATGTGTCTCCCTGTTTCAGAATCCGCTGTTATAAGTCCTTTTTTGTCCTAGCTTCACTTATTTTTAATTTTCTCTAAAGCCGCTAAACCGTTGTTACGGCGCTACAAAGTTAGCTGCGAAACTTGGCACAGTGCCAACATTTAAATACCACTCAATAATAGAAGAAAGACATTTTGACTCAAGTTATCTCGATTCCTATGATAGATATAAAAAGTCGTTAACTGACAAAATGTTTATCGTGACACCAAAAACATTTTATCAGTTTATAATTTTTTGATATCTTTGACAGAAACCGAGATATAATGCAATATAGTCGGGACGATTGAATTCTCTGCTAGGTGACTCACAGGTTTATTATGAAAATGAAACAGCGGTGTTTCGATTAACGGTGAATAATGTGAGGTATAGAAATGGAGGTAAAAATAAAGGACTTGAAATTCTGATCTGCCCAGAACTTGAAGAATTACCTAGAAAGAATTTTAAAGATATTTAGTTGAATTTTTCAAATTTTTCATGTATTTTTCCCTGTTTCAGAAACCTGGCATTGTTTTTGGAAATAGTTACTTTTTGTTCCGATTAGATTTAGGTTTTCATGTTTTCAAAACCAGCTAAACCGTTGTTGAGGCGCTATACATTTAGCGAACCCGAAACTTGGCATGGTGCCGAATTTGAACACCACTCACTAATAGAAACAATTTGACTCGAATTATCTCGATTCCTATTACAGATATAAAAAAGTTGTCAATTAACAGAATGTTCATCATGATGCCAAAAACATTTTTTCAGTTAATCACTTTTGAAGTTGGCAGTTGGTTTTTCTTCTAGGTGACTCATAGGTTCGTAATGAAAATGAAACAGTAATTTTTAATGGTGAAAAAATATGTGAGAAACTGAAAAACTAAGAACTGGGTATTCTGATCCGTTCAGAGCTTGAAGAATTATCTAGAAAGAATATCACATATGTTTTGTCGAAAATTTGAAAGCATTTTTTTCTGTTTTAAAATCCTGATTTTAGATCTTAGTTGCCTGGGGCATCTACCCTCCAACCCCTTCTAAAGGTTCCCTCTAACCACGCAACGACACTCCGCTATCCCGCTCTGCGCGCGCACAGTTTGAATTTAGTTTTGAGTGATTGCGTGCTTGGATTTGGCTCGTGGTTGTTCTAGGGACTCTTTTAAGGACTTCAAGTGAGTTTGCTTGAATTCTAAGCTTTTATTTGTTGTTTCTTTCTAACTTGTTCAAAATAAACCGATTTTGTTACATTTCTTGTTGATTTTCTTTTATTTTATCACAGGAACCTGATACCCCGGACATACCGCGGGCAATTTGGGGGCCGAACCGTTTTGTTATCCGTTTATCCGTTCTCTTACCTCTTTTTCGTTGTTTTTGCATCAATTCTCTCCAGAGTTTGAAGGATCCAGTGAGAGGATTGTTGTGAAAATTAGTGAATTTCGCAAGAATTTCTCCGAGTTTGAAGGAACCGGCAGGAAATTCTTGTAAAATTTGCGAAGAGGACATTCGTGCAGGTGAAGGTTATAACAACTTTTTAATTCCTTTTCATTTTCCCGGAACCCACTAAACCATAGTTGAGGTGCTACACAGAAACTTGGCACTGTGCCAAAGGGTCAAACACCACCTGTGGTGAGAAAGGAAACTTCTCTGCGTCTGTTCCATTCGAATAGTGTCTTCGTCTTTCACCTTATTTCATGATCCAATGAGTCATACATGTGTGCGCGTAACTAGACAAGAACAAAAGGAATTCTGAGGCCAAATTGAGGGAAAATGAGCTAGACAGTTGGTAGCTGATGTTTGCGACCGCGTAACTTTGCCAGAATTTCGAGAAAATTTAAGAATTACAGTTAAAAAAATTTCCGGCAAATAATTCATTTTAACCTCAATAATTCACCAAAAATACACTAAAGTAATACCCACCGGGGTAACCTCGTAAAGCAAACATTATACATTTTATGAAAGACAAATAAACGATACTAAATTCGAGATCATGAAAAAGCAGGAACTACAAAAAGTTAGCACCTAGAATTGTGGATTACTGTAGTTTGAAATTGATTGTGGAATATCCGAGAAGTTTTGGGTAGAAACAAAGCGATGACAACTATCGGAGAAAGAACGGTACTCGGTGAGCAATTGGTTTCCAGACTGTTGCCAATAGATCATTGCGCCAAGGATGAAAATGTGCCACCACTGATGAGAGCATCCGACAACGTCGAATTTTCCTGGAATTTCAAGAATTTACCGACCATGTCATCCAAAACTCGAACTTTGAGCTCAATCATCTCGCTTCCTCTAAGAGATGTCAAAAATTGTCAACTGATAAAATGTTTATCATAATTTCACCCAAATTTTTGTAGTGTACATACTTTTGATACCTATAATGGAAATGGAGATGATTGAGCTCAAAGGAAAAGTATAAGGGTGTGAAGGAAGCAATTCAATTTGAAGATTTAGAGACTCAACAATAAAAATGAACGGTTTCTAACATTGAAAAATGTTGAAAACATTTTTTTTCTCAAAAATTTCCTGTTTCCTTAATGACATAAAAATCCTTCTGGTTTTTGATTACTGCTTTGTAGTAGAATATTCCACTAAAATTATGCATTTTGACATAACGGTGTACAGGGATCGCATTTGACGCTTTTTTTGGTTATCGTACTTTTTTCAAACGCTATCAGCTCCGTTGTCAAGAGATGCAACCGCGTAGCTCAGTGGCGCGGCATCCCCAACTTTGAGCAATTATCTCGGTTCCTATAAGATTATCTCGGTTCCTATAAGAGATATCAAAAACTGTCAGCTGATAGAATGTTAATCATAATATCACCAACACTTTTGCAGTTGAGATATTTTTGATACCTTTCATAAAACTTGAGATAGTTGAGCTCGAAAAGGTGATGTTCTATCGAATCATTCATGGTAAGCACTATTCAATGAACCAAACCAAGTTTCTCAAGCGAACACTGTTTTTAAATAACAAAGTTTAGACATCAAAACATCACGAAACGGAAATCATCAAAAGCGTGCCCAGTCTTTTCAGCTATTTTTAAAACAATTTTGTAAAACTTTGAACTTCGAAAATTCACAACATGGTTAAACTCAAAATTCGACTTTATTGACAATTTTGAATTTTTGAGAATTGCGGTTTCTATAATTTTATAATTTGAAACTCATTTTCTGTTTTTTATTACTCCTATCGGTAGCGGAAGATCTAGAAATCAAAACTTCTCAATACGAAAATCGACATTACCATTTTCAGGACGATTTTCTAAACCAAATTGTACCATTTTTGCCTAAACTGAGATCGCTAATATCTCAAGAATCTGTTTTTGAGAGAGAATCTAATTCAAGACCCTTTTAGTAGGCAGCAGAGCTACACAGTTGAGTTTCTGACTGCGAAGCTTAGCTCCTTTACAAGCTCAGTTGTTAGTGTCTACATACCTGGCCATAATCTCTCTGGAACCATTGTGACGTAGAACATAAACGCGGCGGCTATAAGGGAGTACAGAACCACAACATTCGGGAACCATTTCTGAAGAACTTATAACTTTTAAGCATGAGCTCTTTATGAATCGTTGCAAGAGAAAACCGAACAAAATTTACACACTTTTTGGAACAGGGGAATTTCAAGAAATTGGAAAAGAATATGCAAAATCCATCGCAGGTTCGGTTCCCGTTTTCTATTTATCAAAATTTCGAAGCCGTAACCTACCGTAACATGATCACTATCAAATCCGCCATGTAGAAATACCCAATGAACCGTCGGGCAGATGCCAAATGTGATAATAATGCAGTAGATAATGTGAAGGAGGCCGACTCGGGAGCCTGGAAATTGAAATGACGTTTTTTGAAAAAAATCTAGATTGTTTCAACTGTTTCAATGACTTCAAAAGTTCTTAACTACAGAAATCTGCCAATTCACTTCGCAGATTTGGACTGATTTCTAGAGCTTGAACTCGAAAAAACAAAAAAAATAGGTGCAGTTTTGTCCCCAGTTCTTTTTGGGATCTATGTTAATGAAATATCGTCTTTCCTCCCTCACGAAGTTCATTGTAAACAGTTTGCAGATGATACTAAACTATATGCCTCGATTAACGAAAATGATCCTGACAACCCGCTGCAAAAAAGCATAGACCTAATACAAAATTGGTCTGAAAAATCCAAAATCCCTCTTAACGCAAGTAAAACCGTTGCTCTTACAGTAGGTAAATGCAAGAAAACTATGAACTACTTTATTGAAGGTCAATTTATTAAAAAAGAGACAATAACTCGTGCCTTAGGATTTCTAGTATCTGAAAAACTGGATTTTTCTGAGCACTGGAGACAAGCAATTAACAAGGCTAAATTTATCCTGTCTCAAGTTTTCCAGCAATTTAATAGTAAAAACACCCGATTAATGGTTCTTTTATACAAAGTTTTCATAAGGCCTGTGCTCGAATATGGTACGGTAATCAGTAGTCCCTTCAAATTATCAGATATTAAATTAATAGAATCAGTGCAAAACTCTTTCACTAGAAGACTGTATAGTCGTAAACTAGGAAGATATGTTAACCCAAACGATAAGAAATATAAATCTGCGAGCGAGCGCAACGTACTCTTTGGTCTTAATTCACTACACTCTAGACGCTTAGCAATAGACAGGATAATGGTATCAAAAATGATATCGGAAAAAAATAGGTCTGAACGTAACTGAATTTTTCGCGTCAACTGAAACACGTACTAGAAGAAAAACACGATTTCTCTGGCCCATTCCTAAATCTGAACTAAGGCGAAACTTCTTTGTCAACCGCACTCTGAGCCTAATTGAGAACCCAAGGCCCCCTCTCTCTAATTTGTAAAATAATTTATTATTTCTGTTAATCATTATTGCAGGTATAATTTTTATTCTGTCTGCGTGTATGTGTTGATGGTTATGTGCTATTATTTGGAAATAGTGTTACTATTCGGTTCCCCACTTTAATTGAATGTGTTGTCTAGTTATTCGTGTATCTGTGTTTTGTGTGATTGCATTGTATTCCTTTTCTCTTTTTTCTCTTTTTCCACGACGGAAGGTCGTAATCAATAAATAAACAAAAAACAATACTCCTGCGCAAAACAGTCAAAGTCGCGACAATTCGAAACCCGACACTTTGCAACTATGACTCACCAACAATTTTTCGCTCGAAAAAGTCTTGTCGAGTTGGAACGTAGGCTGAAATGGCAAAAATGCCCAGCAGAATATAGATGTAAGACGTCAAATGATCCTGCAATACAAAAAGTAATTAAACTTACAGTAACCCTCATCCCCATTTTCCCAACCTGGAAGCAGAAGAACGCTGTATAAATCCCGTTCAAGTACATGCCAAGAAGACCTGCGGAGATTCCAAAAATGTCCATTTTCAGCCATTTTTGTCGCATTTCAATGCTCGTACAGCCGAATGTATGATAGCTGGCTGATAAGAGCATGCACATTTGCATTCCGAAAATTGATAAAGTGAACACGAAATGATCGGATTGATGAGAGCCGACTGATGGGAGAACGATGTAGTTTGTGTAGTATTGTTGATAGGTGAAATAGATGAATCCGAGGAGGTGACTCCAGATGTTGATGGTTTCGTTGTTGATGTGGAATGCGCTGAAATGAGCAATATTATAATTGACAGAGAACTAGAAGGGTGCATGTGTGCTCCTCCGCACATTATGATTTTCTAAACCGACATCATAAGTTGATTTTTAAGTGGAAAATACATAGTCAAGTCCTGAAAAAGCAGTTCAAAATTTTCAACTTTTTTGAAATACAAAATTTTTTAAACAAAATTTAAATTCCTTTTTTAAAATCTTGGCGGCTTGGCATTTCCGCCTTTGATTCTTTCGAAAAATTTGAGTTAAATTCAAAACAGTGAAGTTTGAAAAATCCTTTCAAAGTTAAAAAAACCAATTAACTTGAACTCTGTAAAAGATATCAAGAAGTGTACAACTAATAATATCTTCAGGATGTTACGACAAACATTTTATCAGTTGACAAATTTTTGATATCTCTTATAGAAATTGAGATAATTGAAATCAACGTGACAATATGGGAATGCCGGTCTATAAGAAGAATATGTTTAACGTTATTCGAAAATCGAAAATGCAGAAAATTGACATCAAAATGAAAACAGTTTTATTTAAAAGATACCCCTGTGATGTGAAAAAAGAAACATTTGAAAAATCCAAAACATCTTATGGCCAATTTGAAACATAAACTTTTTTCTTTGAAAAAAAATCTTTGCTCACCTTTTAGCGCACATCTTTTTTGTCATTGCAGGAGGTCGATAATGATTAATGACATAGTCATTTTGCCAGAGCGTTTTGTGAAGTTTGTGTCTGAAAACACAAAAGTTGAAAGTCAAAATTAGATTAAACCAAAAACACATTTTTCCACTGTTTCTCACAGATTCCTTAGTTTTTGCAGTATTCGAAATTTTCAATACTTGGCATTGAATTGACTCACTTGCTCACCAGTCGATACCTCTCATGATTGTGGCACACATCCTTCAAATTACACTTCAAACATCGTTTCCTCATTTTGAGCCCTATTTTTGGAGAATGTGGAACTGAAAAATTTTAGTATAAATTTTCAGATACGTTGAGCTCAATTATCTCGGTTTCTATAAAATATATCAACAATCTGCCGACGGATATATTTTTATCATGATTTTATCAACGTTTTTGTAGTTCCCAGGTTTTGAATATCTCTCAAAGAAATTGAGATAATTGAACGCAAAATGCAAGTTTAAGGCTGTATTCTCCACAAAACTGCTTGAATTTGGAGAAATAACTTTTACTGTTATGTGGAAGTTATGAAAAATTAAATTCGTTTACTGTTGGTTAGTATTTGGATTCAATGGACTTCTTTGAAAAACAAACAAATTGTTTCACAGTATCTTCAACATTTTATCATTCAGCACATTTTTTATATGTTTCATGAAAAGCGAGATAAACTGAGTTAAAGTTAGTAAGCCATTCAATTACTGGGAGTGCGAAAACTTGCTGTTTCTAGACTTCTACTTCCATTTTTGTCAGAAATTTTTAATTAATTCTAAGAAATTCAGCTTAATCTGTTATTGTTGTGTTGCGCAAGTCAGTTGCGTGCGGCTAAATGAAATCATTCACAATGGAAATGACGAAACGATACAAATCGGGCGATTTCAATTGATAACGGCTAACAGAGAAAGAGAAGGAAAGCTTTTCCACTTCCACGTAAGACTAGAGATAAGGAGGAAAAGCTAAATGAGGAAGAGAACGTGTTTTTAGAGGCAAAAAAGGGTACAAAAAAGGAGGATTTCTGCCAATGACACTAACATAAACAAGTTCAAATTAGACTAGATATATTGTAGGAGGAAGAAGAAGATAAATTGAAAAGTTAAATTCTATGATTACATACAGTTCCCATCAAATGCTAGAACATTAGAAAATATTTTCCTTGAGGAGTTGAACTTGTGTATATGGTTGAGCTACGCGTTAGCAAATTTGTTTAACGACAGTGTAGCTTGAAAACTTGGGTAAAAAATGCCTAATAGTAAAATTTAATTTTGATTTCAATTATGATTTTACTGAAACAGCAGAATATCTAGAATTTGGATTTTTGTCAGCCAAAAAAAAAACAAAATTATGAACTTCAAATTTTGCATTGAAACTGAAAAATGTACGATATTCGACGCCTTTAAGCAAGATTCACTCAGAAGTTTCAATTTTTTAAATTTTCAAAAACCGAAAAAAAATTCACTGTTTCAAAAAATTGACAAATGTTCTTTTTTTTCTTTTCTTTCAATACTTGAGTAAATGAACACCACAAATGTGTTTTAATCAAATCACAACCACACTGAAAACAACAAAAAAACATATATGAAGGGAATGAAATGCGTAGAAGCGATTGATTTGTATGGAAAAACGACATTGAAAAGCACTGGATTTGGAGACAGAGAGATCAGAGAGACGCAGGCATTAGACAGTCTCATAGGGACAAGAAGAAGAAGAGGACTACGACGGCTTCTGAATACACAAACTGGTTTCCCCCATGGCTACGACAGATCTTGGCGAAAGATTTGGAGGGGGAGAAGAGAATCTAGATACTTTCTTTACTTTTTCTTTTTCGGGATCCAGGACAAAATTTGAATGAAAATGGAAGGATTTTTCTACAGAGAAAGTGTGAAGGATTTATGACTTGTGACAGGTGGAAAAGGCTGGGACATCCTTTTTCCTGGAAGGCGAGAATGTAAACAGTCATAGTTTTTGTGACCTAGATCACTTTTTCTGATGTTTGTCAATGTTGAAACATGGAAAAAAGATTTAAGTTATCCAAGGAATTGAACTTGCTAGCAAAATTTTGGAGTTTCAATGCTACTACCAATTAAGCTACGCGGTTGTAGCTTATAAGCTTGCCGATCGCGTAGCAAAGTTCATGAAAGTGATTGTTGGCCAACCGATGGACAATCAGCGACTGGAAGCTAAAAACTGTTCCATAGAAAAATTCACTGTTTTATGAAATCTATGAAAATACTAAAATTAGTATTAAATAATGTTTACAAGGGAAGTACCCGAAGTGAAATTTCGCTTTTTTTAGATGTTGGTGGCAAAAAATGTCCCGTCGCTGGACTAGCACAAAACGGATAATATAAGGTGCCCATAGGCAGGTTGAGCAGAATGGCAAATTTTTTGTGATTTTTTCGAAAAAGTGGATCAAGTTCATTCAAAAAAGCATAACTTTGTACAGATTGAAGATAAAACTATATACTAAACTGTATTTTGTAGCACGCATTACAGGCTACAAAAAACCTCCTTTACACCTTTATTCTATCTCTGCAAAGCATTTTACCATGATAGGATATGTGCGAATGGTCCGATGGTGTGAAATCAAAAAATGTCGATTTTCGAAACAACGTATTTGGGAGACCATGTCTATCCGATTTCTTTTATGTCATAATGTACAACTGTAGTCTCAAATATATAGCTCACCGTTCATTTAAGAGAGATTTTTGAAAAAATAATATTTTAAAAGTCAATCCATGTATTCCTATATATGGTATTTTTTAAACGCATTTTTCCATTTACAACATTAAAGCTCTGAGAATGAAAGATTCAGTTGTTTTAGTTATTTTTTGACAGTAAATGACCAAACCGTGATCAAGAAGTC